GCGATGCGAAGCAGCGGCGCGTGCTGCTTGGCCACGGCGAGATGGTTGACGCTATCTTGCAAAAAGGCAGAGGTGCGGTGCACAATGCTTAGCTGATTGAGCCCGGCCTTGTTGTAGGCGCCGCCGCCTTCCATGAGTGTCGAGAACCCGCGGCAAGCGCGCGACCACGGACGAGCTGACATGCGTGATATGTCGGATGAATTGGAGAGTGAAGTCGCCAACGCCATGGAGTACGGCAGGTAGAGACACGATCGAGCGTGGGACAGCAAGTGCAATGCTCAGATGGGCTCGTGCAAGAACGGCGCAGAGGCAACACTCGTGAGGCTAATCTGGTCAGCTCGCGGTGTCGATTCATTATGAGACTGACCCTCTGCAAGCATCTACGACTTCTCTTATTCATCACTCGCACACCGGTTGGCCTAATTTGACGCCACGTCTAGCTGGGTGGTGGTGTCGACCGAGTCCATTAGCGTCCTCTGCAATTCTCAACTCGTATACTGCTTGGTCGATGAGCTTTTTTCTCCAATGCAGCAGAAACAAACGCCATTTCTTAGTAGGAGTCGAGATCTAAAATGCTAGCTCTACGACGGTTCGCAAGATACGTCCCTTCGTGAAAAGGTCGTTTCGACTTCCTACGCGCGCAAAACACCCATTTCGAAGCTTCTTATGTGCTTTACTTTCACTTGAATCATGCTTCGTTTCGCAAACTCAAAGTGAATCTCGCAACCCAAACTTTGCTTTGAGACGGAACCAGTAGTATTCGGATATGAATCACACCAAAAACGACGACTTGTCTTGGCAGCCATCGTGCGCGTCGTTCTCGCCTGACTCTTGCAACTAACACGTGCTCTTAGAGGATCAAACGACAGCGCGTCTCGTTGTTGGTCTTGTGTAGTGCCACGGGCAACGTCGCCAGCAGCGATCTCACGCCCCACGTCTCGACGTAAAAGGGCTGGTTCTCGATCGTAGCAAGCGCGTCGTACAAGTCTTGTTGGGTCGTGCCGTCGGTAATCAAGGTCATGTTCAGCTCCCGAAGCTGGCGACTGGCGGCGACCAACGCCGTCGTGAACCGGGGCACAACGCTCTCAAAGGGCCAATCGTGGACCCAACCCTCGAGCTTTCGGAGTTGAGGCAGCCGCGGGACAGCCTCCAGAAGCAACATCAGCTCATCGTGGTCCAGACGATTGTCGGCCATATCCAGCGTCTCAAGGCTCGGACAGTGGACGCACAATGTCTCGAGGACCGATCGGAAGCCTTCTCCGTACAGATAGTTGGGTACGACGAGCACGAGTGTTTTCAACGAGCCAAGCTGCGCAAGACCCGCCGCAAATGCAGGCACCCGGTCGTCGTCGAGCTGCGCCGCCACTAGCTCCAGCGACGTGAGGACCGACAGCATCGACGACAGACACGGCTGCAAAGCGAGCTCGCCAAAGTAGCTGTAGCTGAGATGCTCGAGGCGCGTGGGTGCAAGAGCGCGGGCCAAGTCGGCAAGAACAGCGTCTGTTGGCGTGTCATCGATGTCGTCGATAAACTCGTGGCGCTCGTGGTCATAGTAGAGCTCGCGCAGGCTTGTCGGGAGGCGGCGCCCCAGAAAGCCGTCGATGCCATTTACTCTTTCGAGCTTGATCTCGGCAAGTGTTGAGTTTGCGTGCAGGGCGCTGCAGAACGCCACCGCGGCGTTCCTTGGCATGCGCGAGATGTTGGACAAGGAAAGTGATGTCGCCGGTGCAGTGCGCACCCAGTCGCGCAAGTGGTAGCCAAGGTGAAGAGGCGCCTCGATCGACCTCAGATCAAGGACCAGCGTCTGCACCGCCGGGTGCGCCGTCGCGCGCAGCAGGGCGTCGAACACTGGCTGCTCGCCAAACGCCTCATGCGCGATCACAATGAGGCTGCGTAGCGACGCGCATTGCAGCACGAGGTCCGCGAGCGCGTTGCCTTCGTGCGGCAGTATCGCTACCGGATCGATTGTAATATGGAGACCATCGATCGCGGAGCCCATCGCGCGCACGAGAGCGTCGAGCTGGCTGAGGTGGCGGGTCGTGTGCGTAATGTGTATCTTGGGCTGCAAGGACAGCGTCTCATGCAGAGACGCAAGCACCTCCGGCGATACGGTCGAAAGCACATGCAGCCAAATGGTTGGCCACTGGAACGTCACAAGCAGGTCCGCTCGGTCGCGAACCGTGCGAAGAGCGGTCAGCGCGCGGGTCCGCAGATGCGCTGGGATCGCATCAAGGTAGCTCGAAAAGTCTTTGTGTCTCTCGATGCAGCGAGCGATGGCTTCGAGAAGCCCTGGCTGCAGCAGACCGTCGGTCACGTCGCGACGCAC